GCATGCACCGCCGTGTCCTTGTCTCTGGTCTTCCCAGGGTTCTCCCTCCCCTCCCACCCTCGCCTGCTCCTCCCTGTCTTCCCTGTGTCGAGGGGCGGCAGCGCGCCGCTCCTCACTCCTCCTCGTTCCCTCCCACAGAGGCTCCCCTGCAGACTCTCCACCTGGACGTGTGGGGCCCAGCCCGCGTCCGTGGACAGGGCCACGTGCGGTACTTCCTGTTGGTCGTCGACGACTACACGCGTTACACCACGGTCTTCCCCTTGCAGCGCAAGGGGGAGGTCCCTGATGTTTTGATCCCCTGGATCCGCGCTGTTCGTCTCCAGCTCCGCGAGCGGTTTCAGTCGGACTTTCCAGTCCTGCGTCCGCACTCTGACAGAGGTGGTGAGTTCTCCTCAGACCTCTTGGCAGCCTTCTGTGCAGAGCACGGCATCCGCAAGACGTTCACGCTTCCGGCCTCTCCGCAGCAGAATGGGGTTGCTGAGCGCCGCATTGGCTTAGTCATGGAGGTCGCTCGTACCTCCATGATCCATGCGGCTGCCCCCCATTTTCTGTGGCCGTTTGCGGTCCGGTACGCCGCGCATCAGCTCAACCTCTGGCCCCGTGTCTCCTTGCCGGAGACCTCGCCCACACTGCTGTGGACGGGGAAGGTTGGCGATGCGTCGCGTTTCCGGGTCTGGGGTGCTCGTGCCTTTGTCCGCGATACCACCGCGGACAAGCTCTCCGCCCGCGCTGTTCCCTGTGTCTTCCTTGGCTTTGTCCCTGACGCGCCTGGTTGGCAGTTTTACCACCCCACCTCGCGACGTGTCTTCCCCTCTCAGGACGTCACGTTTGACGAGTCGGTTCCCTTTTACCGTCTCTTCCCCTACCGCACTGCCCCTCTCCCCCCCCCCGCCGCTCTTCCTCGCTCCAGGTGCTCCCCAGGTAGACCCCCTCCCCGCTCCCGGTCCTGCTCCTTCAGGTGTGTCTCAGGTAGACCCTCCTCCCTTGACTGCGCCGGTTGAGGTCACTGGTGACTCAGGTCCTGCTTAGGGTGGTCCTTCTCGGGGTGCTGCTTCTGGGGGTGCTGAGCCTGGGGGTGCGGAGCCTGGGGGTGCTGAGCCTGGGGTTGCGGAGACTGGAGGTGCTGAGCCTGGGGGTGCTGAGCCTGAGGGTACTTAGTCTGGGGGTGCTGCACCTGGGGGCGCTGAGGCGTCTGGTGAGCAGTCTCCCTAGAGTGGCCATCTCCGTAGTCGCTCCGCTGGTGCCTCGCCGCTGCACTCTCGTCGTCGACTCCCTCTCTCCCCACAGCAGCTGCTTGAGTGGTACGTTGGCCGTCAGGGTCGCGCTTCTGGAGCTAGGCGCCCTGCTGCGGGAGGCGCTGGAGCTGGTGACTCTGCTACTGGAGTTGTTTCTGCTGGAGGCTCTGGAGCTGCTGAGGGTGCTGGAGCTGGAGGTTCTGGAGCTGCTGGAGGTGCTGGCGCTGGTGGCGCTGGAGCTGGAGGTTCTGGAGCTGCTGAGGGTGCTGGCGCTGGAGGTTCTGGAGCTGCTGCGGGTGCTGGCGCTGGAGGTTCTGGAGCTGCTGCGGGTGCTGGCGCTGAGGGTTCTAAGTCTGCTGTTACGCGGTCTCCTTGGAGTAGCCGCCTTCGTCCGCGTGTGCCTCTCACCTCACAGCAGCTGCACGACTGGTACGGTCGCCGTCAGGGTCGCGCTTCTGGAGCTCGGGGCTCTGCCGCTGGAGGTACTTCTGCTGACGTCACTGGAGCTGGGAGTGGTGCTGGTCCCGGAGGTGCTCGTATAGGAGGTACTGAAGCTGCTGGGGCTGGAGGTGCTGAGCCTGAGGGTGCTGCTGCTGGAGACACTGAGGCTGGAGACCCTGGGACTGGGGTTGCCGGTTCTGGGGGTGCTGCTGTTGGTGGAGCTAGTCCTGAAGGAGCTGGCGCTGTGGGTTCTGGAGCTGCTGGAGGTGCTGGAGCTGCTGGGGGTACTGGAGCTGCTGGTGCTGGTGTCACTGCACAGCCGCGCCTGTTCTTCGCTCTGCCGTCTTCGTCGTCTCAGCCACCGCCTGACTCTGTGCTTCGCCAGGTTCTTAGTCTCCCTTCGTCTATTGGTCTTTCGTTACAGCCTGGCTCACCGCTGCCTGCTCCTTCTCCTTACACTGAGCAGACAGGGAGTCTTACTGAGCGTCGTGAGCCTGCGTCGCGTCCTGTCTCGCCTGCCCGTTCTGGTCGTTCCGGTCGTCCTGTTCCTCGTTCGCGTCTGCCGGCTGTCCCCGACACCCACCTCGTAGTCCGTCGTCCTTCCTCTCCTCCACAGTGTGTTCCTCTGCCGTCCCCTCCTGCGTCTTCTCTGCCTGTCGTTGCGGACCCCGAGTCTGACCGGTTTCGTGCTGAGCACCCTACTGTCACGCGTCTGCTAGCCACTGTTGTCACTGGCCCGTCGTTTGAGTCTGCTGCTACGTCTGCCTTAGTTGCTGAGCTTGTTGACTTTGCTGCTGCCTGTCGTCTAGACTACGCCGCTAGTCTTGTTGCTGAGTCTGAGTCTGTCTGTCCTCCGTCCGTCGGGGGTGAGTGTGCTCTTGGCACGGACGTCCTTGAGGACAGGCAGGAGGACCTTGAGTGTCTTGCAGCCGCTGCGCCTCATCTCGTGTCCATGCTGCTTGCCCCTGAGGGAGACCCGGATGCTCCAGACATCCCGACCCCGCGCTCTTACGCTGAGGCGATCGCGGGTGAGTACTCCTCTCAGTGGCAGACAGCCATGGACGCAGAGATGGCATCCTGGAAGTCCACAGGCACCTACGTCGACGAGGTTCCCCCACCTGGGGCGAACATCGTCAGTGGCATGTGAATTTTCAGGGTGAAGCGGCCGCCAGGTTCTCCGCCTGCCTTCAAGGCGCGTTACGTTGCACGAGGTTTCAGTCAGCGAGAGGGAGTAGACTTCTTCCAGACCTTCTCCCCCACCCCGAAGATGACCACTCTTCGGGTGCTGCTGCACGTTGCCGCTCAGCGTGACTTCAACACAGCCTTCTTACAGGGCAGCCTGCACGAGGAGATCTGGCTGCGCCGCCCACCTGGCTTCACTGGGTCGTTCCCTCCTGGTACCCAGTGGAGCCTCAGGCGGCCGGTCTACGGTCTCCGCCAGGCGCCACGTGAGTGGCACGACACACTGAGGACGACACTTGCTCCGTCGACTGCTGACCCGTCGCTGTTTCTGCGCACCGACACTTCGCTGCCGCCGTTCTACATCCTCGTGTACGTCGACGACTTGGTCTTTGCCACTGCTGACACTGAGGCTCTCGCCCTGGTGAAGTCGGAGCTGCAGAAGAGACACACGTGCACAGACCTGGGTGAGCTGACAAGCTATCTTGGCTTGCGGATCACCCGGGACAGAGCACGCCGCACCATCACACTGACTCAGTCACACATGGTGCAGCAGGTCCTTCAGCGCTTCGGCTTCACCTGGTCCTCGGCACAGGCCACTCCTCTGGCTACAGGTCACTCGCTCTCAGCTCCACCTTCGGACGAGTCCGTAGAGCCGAGTGGTCCTTACCCAGAGCTAGTTGGCTGCCTCATATACCTGATGACTTGCACTCGTCCTGACCTCGCGTACCCTCTTGGCCTTCTGGCTCGCTACGTGGCTCCTGGTCGGCACCGAAAGGTGCACATGGATGCTGCTAAGAGGGTACTTGGAGCAGGCATGGGGCTCGTGCTTGGAGGGAGGAGCTCAGTTGTTCTCACTGGGCACTCAGACGCTTCTTGGGTTGACGACCAGACTACTCAGCGGTCGTCACAGGGTTACACCTTCAGCCTTGGCTCTGGTTAAGTTTCTTGGCGTTCTACACGTTCGTCTTCAGTTCTCAGCTCCAGTTGTGAGGCTGAGATCTACGCCACAGCCATGGCTGCACAGGAGTTACGCTGGCTCACCTACCTGCTGACCGACTTGGGAGAGCGGCCTCGTTCTCCTCCAGTGCTATACGTCGACAACAAGGCAACCATTGCCTTGTGTGAGGAGCACAGACTGGAGCACAGAACGAAGCACATCGCTCTGCGTTACTTCCTGGCTCGAGAGTTCCAGCAGCGTGGTCAGCTTCGTCTGCGTTACGTGGCCACTCGGGCCAACACTGCTGATATATTCACCAAGGCACTTCAGAAAAGTGGGCTCTTCAAAAAACCGCGAAGGCACTTTGCTTGTACTGTGATCTATATATATATATACCTGCATGCTTGCTTTGCTAGGTAGAGATCACTGTGCTGTTTGTGTTGCATATATGCCTCTGCATGTGAACTGGCCTTGTGGCCCTTTGCTTGTGCTCAGAGTGTGTGGTGACGTTGTGATCCACCCTGAGCTTGCTTTGCCTTTCTTGACTGGTCTTGTGGCCCCTTGCTCTCCCCCACTTTGCCTATGGGGGTGTGTCAAAGTATATGCATGTTATATATGTGTAGGCTGTAGTGGGGTAGCCAATATGGGGTACAGCCCCGTTTAGGGTTTCATACTTGCACCCAACTCTTTCATAGTTCATTCATTCCTGCTGCTAGATTCTGACACACACCCCCCCTCTCCACCCCCTCCTCTCTCTCCCCCCTCCCCCTCCCTCCTCCCCCTCGTCTCCCTATCGTTGGCTATGCAAGATGGATCGAACACCAGCTTGGTGCCACTGTGTCGATACACAGCTTGGTGCCATTGTGTCGATACACAGCTTGGTGCCATCGTGTCGATACACAGCTTGGTGCCATTCTGTCGATACACAGCTTGGTGCCATTGTGTCGATACACAGCTTGGTGCCATTCAGTCGATACACAGCTTGGTGCCATGCCATTGTGTCAATACACAGCTTGGTGCCATGCCATTGTGTCGATACACAGCTTGGTGCCATGCCATTGTGTCGATACTAGCTTGGTGCCATGCCATTGTGTCGATACACAGCTTGGTGCCATGCCATTATGTCGATACACAGCTTGGTGCCATTGTGTCGATACACCGCCGAAACCTTATCCACCCTCTCCCCCCGTTGGCCCTGTGGTTGGCTACGCCAGTTGGGGCAGGCGGGTGGCCTCGCAGCCGGGGCAGTTGTGCAGGCTCTCGTGGATGAAGACGTCGCAGTCAAAGCAGAAGTGCCGCGCACACGTGGGGCACTCCACCCGCACTCCCCCTCCCTCCGTCTCTGCGCACAGTGGCACGGTCAACAGTCAGTCAAAAGCCAGTCAGCAGCCAGCAATGGACTGGCAGGTGGAAGAAAACAAGACTGAGCAGAGATGCCGGCAGCGAGGAAGGGCAGGCAGAGGATGGAGGTGGGGATGCCGTGATGCTGTGGGCGAGGCAATGAATGACCTGAATGTCTGACCCTACCCATCCCCCAGCACTGCCTGGCCTACCAGCGTGTGCTCACCGAGGAAAGGCAGTGCTCAGCGCGGAAAGGCAGTGCTCACCCAGGAAAGGCAGTGCTCACCCAGGAAAGGCAGTGCTCACCCAGGAAAGGCAGTGCTCACCCAGGAAAGGCAGTGCTCACCCAGGAAAGGCAGTGCGGCAGTGCAGCTGAAGCAGGCGGGCGGCAGGCCGCTGTGCGGGGCGGCAGGGGCTGAAGACCCGACAGGTCGCTTGGGAGCGGGCGGCAGAGGGACCTCGGAGAAGGGCGGCACGGGGAAGAGGTGGTGGTAGGAGCGGGCGAGGTGCGGCGAGGACACGAGTGTGAGCGCACACACGGGGCACTCTGCTGGCAACGCACACACCCGTGAGCTGGGGTGGAGGGGGAGGGGGGGGAGTGGGGGTGGGGAAGATTTGAGTGGGGGAAGGGGTGGAGGGGGGAGGAGTGGGAGGGAGGCAGAAGGACGGCAAGTGGCACGAGGCGGACGAAGTTGGGCCTGCGCTTGCAGCTGCGAAAGGGCGGGACGACGAAAGACAGGGAAAACGTGGGGTGGGGGGGAGGGGGAAAGAACAGAGAGGACACAGGAAAGTGAGCACGTGGGAGGTGGCAGGTGGAGGGATTGATGCGGATGAGATGCAATGCGAATGGGTGGTAAGAGCATGGGTGGCGTCTGGGAGGATAACACCTGCACTTGCAAGTGAGGCACACATACCGGCACCTGGGGCACACATACCGGCACCTGGGGCACACATACCGGCACCTGGGGCACACATACCGGCACCTGGGGCACACATACCGGCACCTGGGGCACACATACCGGCACCTGGGGCACACATACCGGCACCTGGGGGCCGGGGCGCACATACCGGCACCTGGGGCACACATACCGGCACCTGGGGCACACGTAGGTGGCGGCGAGGCGGAGGTGCATGTGGCAGGCGCACAGCGCTGCTGCCCCCTCGGGGGCGCGCTGGGGGAAGCCCATCCGCACAAGACTGGCTGTACTCGCTGCACTGCCCGCCTGCACTGGTGGTGGCGGCGCGTGGCTCATTAGCAGCTCCCTCAGATGCGCCTGGGGGGGATGAAATAGGGAGGAGGGAACACGAGAGACGACTGGAAAGATTAAGAAATGCAAGAAAATCGGAAAAGGGAAGGAGGAATTCGAGATGCAGGTGTGATTGGCAGAAGCAGGTGAAGCATCCAAGTCGGTGTCAGATAGGGTGGCACTGAAACCAGCTCCTCAGCTCACTCGATAGGGTGCATGCCTTCTGGTGTGCAACAAGGAACAGAGAGAAGCTCAAAATGACTTCCCTCTTAACAGCACGAGCACCCTCCAGTGACAGTGTGACACCGCTCTCCAGTGACAGTGTGACACCGCTCTCCAGTGACAGTGTGACACCGCTCTCCAGTGACAGTGTGACACCGCTCTCCAGTGACAGTGTGACACCGCTCTCCAGTGACAGTGTGACACCGCTCTCCAGTGACAGTGTGACACCGCTCTCCAGTGACAGTGTGACACCGCTCTCCAGTGACTGTGTGACACCGCTCTCCAGTGACTGTGTGACACCGCTCTCCAGTGACAGTGTGACACCGCTCTCCAGTGACTGTGTGACACCGCTCTCCAGTGACTGTGTGACACCGCTCTCCAGTGACAGTGTGACACCGCTCTCCAGTGACTGTGTGACACCGCTCTCCAGTGACTGTGTGACACCGCTCTCCATCCCCCGACCCAAGAGTGCCTCCCACCCGACCGATTACAGGACTCACGTCATCCCCGCCTCACGTCATCCCTGCCCCCAAGGTGCGCCCCACCCCACAGCCCCACGGGCCTCACGTCATCCATGGCGACGCTGTAGCGGCCGCCCGTCTGCTGGGCGATGTGGCGGCAGATGTGCACCTCAGCGCCGCCCACGCCGATGATGGAGCACCGCAGGTGGGCGGCGCGCGCGCGCCGGATGGCGGGCAGGATGTCGCCGGGGTCGGTGGAGGCGAGCGCGGCGAAGAGCAGCAGCAGCTCGCGGTGGCCGTACGCCGGCACGTGCGCCACCGCCTCCACCGCCGCCTCCACCACGTTCTGCCAGGGGGGTGGCGGGGGGAGAGGCGTACGCGTGGGAGAGGCATCACATGTGGAGTGGAGGTGAAGCCATGTAGAGACGAGAGGGTGGCACCGTGAGCACAGAGGTACGCGACATAAGGAGTGAAACATCACAGGGAGGCGGGTGGTACCTGCAGGGAGGCGGGTGGTACCTGCAGGGAGGCGGGTGGTACCTGCAGGGAGGCGGGTGGCACCTGCAGGGAGGCGGGTGGTACCTGCAGGGAGGCGGGTGGTACCTGCAGGGAGGCGGGTGGTACCTGCAGGGAGGCGGGTGGCACCTGCAGGGAGGCGGGTGGCACCTGCAGGGAGGCGGGTGGTACCTGCAGGGAGGCGGGTGGTACCTGCAGGGAGGCGGGCCCCGAGGCGGAGAGGTTGGACTGCAGCGCCTTGATGTGCGCGTCGGGCGGCGAGGTGAGCTCTGAGAGCTGCGAGGCGACGCCGTCTCGCAGCAGCAGCAGGGCGAGGTGGCTGAGCGGGTTGCTGTCGAAGAAGTTGAGGATGAATGCCTCGCTGCTGCGCGCCATGGCTGCCATGCGCGATGGCTTCATGTCCACCTCACTCGCCGCCTGCCTGCCATGCAGGGACGTGAGGCGAAGTGCCATGCCATGCCATGCCATGCCATGTCATGCCATGTCATTCCATGCCATAGCGGTATGGACATGGGAAGGAGACATGATACTGAAATGCTGACGGCAGTCCACCGCACACAGTGCAACGGTGTGTGATGACATGAAAGTCAGGCCACCCATCCCATGAGCGACATTGCATGGCATGGCAGCAGTCATCGCAACCCGTCTCACCTCCACCAACCCAAGAGAGGCCCACCCACCCGGGAGAAGTCGAGCGCGAGCACGAGGTAGCGGATGATGCCGCGCCTCACCCGCTGCGCCCCCACCCGCCCTGCCTGCCCCGCCTGCTGCCGCCGCCGCCTCTCCCTCTCACTGCGCTGCTGCCCCGCCACGTCCACCGGCCGCAGCCGCCCACTCTCGTCCTCCTGCCCGCGCCGACGCACAGAATGGGGGAGGGGGAGGGAAGGACAGTGAGTGCAGGGGCCGTGAGTGCAGGGGCCGTGAGTGCAGGGGCCGTGAGTGAAAGGGCAGACCCACAAGCAGCACTGACCTGCACGGCCTCCCAGGAGCGGTCGTTGGCGTAGGAGCGCTCCCACGCCTCCTGCTCGCGCATGGCATCCTCCGCCGCCACCTCCTCCTCCTCCTCCTCCACGTTGTACGCCACGTCCACCCGCCGCGCCTCCCCCCGCTTCATCGCCCCTGCAGCTGGGCGTGTACAGTAGCTTGGTACCACGTGTTGCTCGATACCTGACACGACACTCTAATGTTGATCAAATCCGAATGCCCGGGCTAATTGCAAACTGATGGCAAGGGGGCGGAAGGGAAGGGAATGAAAGGGACAGAGAGGAACGGATTCAGGGAAGTGAAGCATAGGGGCGGGAGGACGTGAATGGAATAGAAGGGAAGGGAATGAAAGGGACAGAAAGGAACGGAAGGAAGGGAAGGGAATGGATGGGAAGGGGAGGGAAGGGAATGGATGGGAAGGGATGGGATGGGACGGGAAGGGAAGGGATGGGACGGGAAGGGAAGGGATGGGACGGGAAGGACCTAGGGAAGGAAAGGGAAGGGTTGGGGGGAGAGAGAACGCAAGAGAAGGAAGGAAATGAAAGGGAAAGTAAGGCATTTTACGATGCATGGACGGACGGATTTAGGGTGGGCAGGGGGGAGTGGGGCGGGTGAGGAGGGGGTGTGAATGGAATAGAAGGGAAGGAAACGGAAGGAAAGGGAAGGAAAGGAAAGGGACGGGAAGGGATGGGAATGTCAGGGGAAGGGGGGAATGGTAACGCAAGGGCGGGCATGGAGGGGAAGGGATGGGAAGGGGAGGGACGGATTTAGGGAAGGGACGGACAGTGGACGGCTGATGGCGCGGAACTATGGTGGGAGGGACGAGAGGAGGGGAGGCGCGACGAGGGGAGAAAAGGCGCGACGAGGGGAGGGGAGGCGCGACGAGGGGAGGGGAGGCGACGAGGGGAGGGGAGGCGCGACGAAGGGAGGGAAGGCGCGACGAAGGGAGGGAAGGCGCGACGAAGGGAGGGAAGGCGCGACGAAGGGAGGGAAGGCGCGACGAAGGGAGGGAAGGCGCGACGAAGGGAGGGAAGGCGCGACGAGGGGAGGCGCGACGAGGGGAGGGGGGCGCGACGAGAGTAGGGGGTGTGCGACGATGGGAGGGGACGCGCGGAGAAGGGGCTACACTCACCCTCGCGACCTCACTCGCGAGCTAGTGTATACGCTTGTGAAGTTCCCTCTTCTTAGTATTTACAGCGCCGAATGCGCTTACGGGAGATTTATGTGGCGCATTTGGTTCTCACTCTCTGGAAAATCACGCAAATACAAGTTAGGAGGGTTCGGCGTCTCCGCTTAGGGAAAATATGCCATGGGTAACCAACTTGGGACTCGATAACGTGAATGGTAAAAAAAAACGCGTACGGCCAGTGTATCGGGTTTCCTGACGGGTTTGGTAAGTGGGGTCACGGATTCAGTCACTAACAACATGTAAGGAATCACGCGAATGGTCACACATGTAACTCCCGCCAAAAAAACTTGAAACTCAACAAATTTCCCGCTCGCGCCCAACCAATCTGCTAACCTGTAAAAAATCTAAAACCCAATCGGAATGGGATGCGGTTGGGAACGGATCAACCCTAAACACCTGGCGAGTTACGTGTTTAGGGTTGATTCATTCGAAAATGCATCCAGGTTCTTTTTGGGTTTATTTTGTTTTGGCGGGAGTTTCATCTATGACCATTCGCATTTTTTTTTACCAGTTGATTGTGACTGATTACGTGAAACGTTTTATCAGTCGCGTGAAAACACCCTTTGCGGTGACCGTACCCTTTTTTTTCTTTAACCAGAAATGTGATCGAGACCCATGATGGTTACGAATGGCATATTTTCCCCTCCGCTTACGGCGCGGTGTATTGATTTTGAAAGGGGAAATATGAGAATAGTAATAAATAGGGCCTAGATAACATTATTGGTACTAAAAAAACACGAACTCACACTAAAATGTGTGTTTTCTCTCGGGGGATTGTTTTTTAGGGGCGGGAATTTCGTTTTGTGAACATTTGCGTGATTGTTCGCCAGTGTTTAGTGCCTGAACTGATCACAAGAATATACGCATAAAAGATGTGAAAATATGTCAAATTATAAATATGCAAGTTACGCTATAGGGAGGCACACCTTAGAGGGTACAACCCTTTTAGGGTTTCTTATTTGTATCCGATCCTCCCTAGTGAAACTCATTCTGCTATCTCGAACGTAACTCTGACATAATGAAAAGCCCCACCCCCAACCTGTCAAACTGTACTTGTTATACCTTGTATTCTGTAGTCTAGCGTATTACATTTGTGCTAGGGTTAGGGTTAGGGTTGACTATATCTTCCCTTGTTCGTTCAGTTGTTGACATGGTATCATAGCGTAGTTCGATCCGATGGGCCCACCGCCTAGCGCCCGGACTAGCCCGTTAGCAACCCGTCGCCCGTAGCATCCCGCTGCCCATAGTGCCCCGCCCGTAGCATCCCGCTGCCCATAGCGCCCCGCCCGTTTTCCCCTGCACGCACGCCCGCACTGTCGCGCGCGCAGCCTGCAAACATCCGCGGCTGTGACTAGTCTAGCGGTAGCTGCAGCTCCCACACAAGGACCCTCAGAGGCACATAGGCTAGAAAAAACATACGCACCAAGATTGGAAACACAAGTCCCTACTCGTGTAGCCGGCAAAGGTCCTAGACTAGGCAGGTGCAACTCAACAGGTCCAACAGCACTGTGGCTAAAACGAGAAGGCCAGTGCGGTGGAATCGCGTCAGGTCCAAGACGCTCACGGTGAAGGTCGTCAAGGCGACTATAGCAGCGGATCGCGGAGTGGTCACGACGCCAGCAGGAAGTGCCAGCAGCAGGGCCAGTCAGGATCCGGTACTTACAGGGGCCGACGTCGCGCCCACTGCTAGTTGAGCCGCTGCTGAGGCCGGCACTTCTTGGACCCTCAGTTCCCCACTGTCGGGAGTGTTGCAGCTGCTGTCGTTGCTGCTGGCCCTGCTGCTGCAGAACTCATGTAGACGCCATGGTAGGGGCTAGAAACGGCTGAGCAGCTAGGAGCGGTCGGGTGCGTTCGGGTACGATCGGGTAGAGATCTAGTGCGGACGGGGTGCTGTGTGTTTTAGTTGGGGGGGGGGGCGTTGGGCCTTCTGGCTGGGGGCCGTGGGGGGCTACTAGCTGGGGGCCGAAGGGCCTTCTAGCTGGGGGCCGCGGGGCCTTATAGCTGGGGGGCCGTGAGGCCTTCTAGCTGGGGGGGCGCGAGGCCTTCTAGCTGGGGGTCGCAGGGCCTGCTAGCTGGGGGCATGAACGGGCGTGAACGGGCGGGAAGGGCGGATTCGGGCGGCAACGGGCGGGAGCACACGGGAATGGGCGGGAACGGGCGTGGTACGGACGGAAACGCGCGGGGAACGGGTGTGTGAGAGTACGACGGCTTATGCCAGCTATGCTTGCTTGCCTTTACTTTATTCGGCTATTACTAGCTTAGGTTTATTTTATGCATGCATAAATTGCTTGATTTCCTAGGCTAGGTGCTTTCCTATATTTTATTATAGTTATAGCACCGAGCTAGGTTGCGTGCACCGAATTCTGGGCTTTTCGGTTGCCACCGAATTGCCTTCTACCGAATTCGGGAAGGGTCTGTTCGGGACGCTTCGAGACCCTCGGAACCTTCGCGTAACACCTGGTTACTGAGCCCTGTGTCGAGCCTATATATAGCCTCGTGTTGTACCCAGGTGATTCATTCATTTACAACTCTCTTTTCTGAGCTCGATCCTAGATCCTCACACTTGGTAATCAGTGCCGTTTACACGCGAAGTTTTTTCGACCACTAAAATCGAGTCTTCAAAAAACCGCGGGGGCGACGATTGTTAAACACCGAATTCGGGAACGTAAAACCGGTTCCGTGTTTTTCACTCCCCCTCGATTTCGGTTTTCGAACGCGCAATGACAGACATGGAGGGTCAAGGCGACAACTACGCGACGACGAGCGACATCGCCAGCCTTCGCACCGACGTGGAACAGACGCAGGCGGCGATTCGACGAATCGAGGCCCTTCTGACAAACCAATCCACAGCCGCCACCGCAGCAGTCAATGCAGCAGCGAACGTAGCAGCGACAGCAGCAGCAGCGGCAGCGACACCGACGTTTCACGGACCGATGGCACCACTGACACCGAACCTCGAAGCAGCTCGCCCGAGGCTCCCCGAAGCGTTCGATCCAAGCGCGAAAGGATCTGACGTTCAACGTTTTGTGGCAACCCTCGAAATTTATTTCGAGGCCATTGGCTGTTCGACCCCGACACATGACGCAGCACGGATTCGGCTCGCAGCGACACTGTTGAGGGGACCAGCACTCGAGTGGATTTACTATTCTGACGTGGCCCGCGGCGAGAAAACGTGGATGCAGTTTCGGGAGGATCTTATCGAACGCTTCGAACCAATCAACTCAGTCTACATGGCGCGGCAGCAGATTCACCGACACAAACAGTACAGCAGTGTAGCACAGTACACGCAGCAGATGGAGTTACTGTTCAACCGAATTACCGACCTAACCGAAGGCGTGAAAATGAAGATTCGACGGCAGGTGATTTCGGCGAACACAGTAGCTACCGCGACATTGTACGGGCAGCCGAAAGGTACGACGCGTTGACGCGAGGTCAACCCGAAACACGACGCTACGGGTCAAACCGTACATTTGGCCCGGAGCGATCGGCACCCCCCACGTTCACCGAACCGATGGATATCGACAAATTTGACGCGAAGCAGCAACCGACAAAATGCGAATTTTGCGGAGGCATCAAATCTTGTCGTGCTACAAAATGAAGAAAGCACGTGCGGCAATGCTGGGCGGCAACAGTGGAGCACCCCCGAAGTAAAAAAACGGGAATCGCCAGTAGCCGCGGATCGACTTGGCGATCGCGTAAAGATCCGAAAAGCAGAAAAGGGCGACGACGTGGCGACTTCAGAGCAGGTGAAAAAAGGAGAAAATGATGGCGCGAATATAAAACGTCACGACCGGCCGGCGTCAGGGGAAATCGCCGAGGCGAATGGAGGCTCCGCGAAAAAAGACTCTGCACCGACCGGCAAACTCCAGCCGAACACCCACGAAGGTAAGAATTCGTTAAACGTATACTATAAAGATACTCTAACTAAAAATATTGCTTCTTGTGGTTTTCAATGCTTTGAGAAATTCAGGGGAGATTTAGAGGCCAAGAAAAAGCCTTTATTGTCAAATGTCATATCTGCTACAGTTTGTTTAGGCTATAGTGGGGTAGTTACTATGGGGTACAGTAAGTTTAGGGTTTCCTACTTGTACCCAACTCTTTCCTAGTGCAATCACTCTTGTTCATTCTGACATGGTATCACGAGCCTAGGTTAGCCACCTAGGACCGCTTACTACTACGAGCCCACTATTCCGCTAGAAGCGCCCTCGTGCGCCTTTCTCTGCTCGTGCGCCCTCGTGCGCCCTTTTACTGCTAGTGCGCCCTCGCGCGCCCCGCCCTTCGTTCTGCCCGCGCGCCGTCCTCTGTCCGTGCGCACGTAGCCCGCTAGCTGCCCACGCAGTTCGTACCGGCCTCGCGCGGCCCCTTGAGCTGCCCGCGACCTGCCTGCACGTCGGCCGCCGCCCGTAGGCTGCCCGTCGCCCACCGTCGCCCCTAGGCCGCCGCCGCCTGTAGGCCGCCCGTACGCCGCCCGTAGGCCGCCCTTACGCAGCCCGTAGGCCGCCCGTACGCCGCCCGTAGGCCGCCGCCGCCCGTAGGCCGACGCTCGCGCGCAGGCCGTCACCCGCGCGCCGCGGCTGCCGCACGCCGACGGCTGCAGCCCGCCAGGACCCGCGCGTCCCCTTCCCGCCTCGTTACGACGCCCCCGCGGGACCCGCGCGTCACCCCCGCCTCTTCGCGACGCCCCCGCGGGACCCGCGAGGTGCGACTCCTGCGCGTCGCGCCGCCCCAGCGGGACCCGGGCGTCGCCCCCCCCCGCTCGTCGCCACACTCCTGCGGGGCCCGCGCGGCGTCGCCCCTGCCCGCCGCGTCGCCCTGCCCGCCGCGTCGCCCTGCCCGCGGCGTCGCCCCTGTCCGCCGCGTCGCCCTGCCCGCCGCGTCGCCCCTGCCCGCGGCGTCGCCCCTGCCCGCCACGTTGGTGTAGCCGCCCCTGGAGCAGCCGCCCCTGGAGCAGCCGTCCCTGGAGCAGCCGCCCCTGGCCCCTGGAGCAGCCGCCACTGCAGCAGCCGCCCCTGGCCCCTGGAGCAGCCGCACCTGCAGCCGCCCC